AATATATAGACAATTTCACGTTAAATGAACATTGCATCCATTAGCATCTAATTACAAACTAATGTACAATTTCAGTAATTTGCATACAAATTAATATCCGCTTTACTCGTGCAAACACAATACATTGTTTAAATTAGATATTTGTGATTTTTACGTGTGAATTTTTATATTTACGACACCAAATAGCCTAGCAGTTAGAGAAGGCAGTTTACTGCCTTAGGATTAATAAGAGCAAGAGTCTTTGAGTTGTTATTTTACCTATCAAGTAATGCCGCGTTTCGTTTAATGAGCCCGGAGGTCTAGTTTAAGCCCTCATTTCCTTCTCACCCATTTATTAAAAGTAAATTATGGGAAGTCGAAGTAGATTTTCCGGATTAGAGGATGCATAGGAAAATATTCTCTTTCTGTGCATGCTCTGTAGATTAAATGTAGGCAACACATTTGCAATTGCGTATGTGTATGGCCAACGGTCGCTTCTCTTTTAGCGAAACGCTCGCTCGTTTGCAACCATAACACCAAGTTTAAAAAAAAAAGGTATCGATAATAAAATACTAATTAAAAAACAGAATCCTTAGAGTATCATTCTATCAGCGCTATTACCTATAAAAAGTAAATAAAGTATGAAACTGAGTCAATGACAGTTCTAAAACTTTACCAATTCTGTAGGTACATTTTTGACTACTATTATAGCTATCTCTAATGTACCTTTGTCTAGACTAGACTCTCAGATATCGTATGTCAAAAGTTCCTACAGTGCGATAAACTTCTGGCCCGGTTACTCTCTATATACTAAGGAGATCAAATATAATATCAGTGTCTGAGACACGATGAATGTTGTATGTATTTATAAAGTTAAAAATCATATATTTATGGACTCGGGTTGATATAATTCAAACCGGTCACCAAGACGCTTCGGATTTGGGATCAATGTTTGGCCTTGAAATTAAAAGAATTAGGCTCTTCGTACACAACGCTAGGTTTCGAAAACCGTCGATTTGAGTCGTTAAGCGTCTTAACCAAAACAATGTCTAGAGGTTCGTACACAGACACGCATCGCTGACAATGTGTTCTTTAGTCTCTAAAGACAAAACTTGTAGCTTGTAACCAGTTTGTCAAGATGGATTCGTCTTGAGAAAAGTCGTTGCGATTTTCAACATTGCGTACGGGGCGCCCGCGACGTGATTCTCGCGACGCAAGTACGATATTAGTTTTGAAGATTTACGTTACCTTGTATACGTGGGGTTTTAATGACCCAAACCGGACTATAACCTAGTCTAAGGCGTTTGTAATGAAATGCAAGTTGATTGACGATTGTTTTTATTAATATACTAGCAGTTGCCTGCTAGTTCGTCTGCGAATTAAAAAAAATAGTAATAAATATGGCCAATAGCGATAGAATTCTTCAAATCCGTTAAGTAGTTTTGGAGCAGAACTATTTGTCTATTTATTTGCATTGAAAATGCGAATAAACAGTCCAATCTTTTTGCTTTATAATATTAGTATAGACGAGTGAATCGTGATTTTTTGACCGCAAAATATAACTAATAGAATTAATATGTTTTTGCCATTTTAAAGACCTTGACTACTAGACATATTCTGTATTACAATGTTTCAATGTAACGTAAATTAATAGATTGCTGGCGAGTAATCTTAACTATTCGCTTACGTCACTTCTTAACTAATGCTTTTCCTGTGACTTTACGTTTATAGTCACTTTTAGTGTTATATACACTAGTGTTATTTATGCTTTTATCCTAATTAGATTACTACGAATGTAAGTTGTTTTGTTTGAATCATTTGTCAAGAAATTTGATCGCGAATGTCAAACAGGACAGCCGCAGCAGGTAAGACGAACGCAGATGATTATTTGGAAGTACCAGAATAGCATAGGAGATATGATTCAAGACGAAAACTTAAAAAGACTTTAAGCTTTAATATTTCAAGCAACTGTTGAAATATTTTAAAGAATATTCTTTAAGATCTTCATTTTAAACTTTCATCGCAATATTGTAAGGTATTTCATAAACATAGAATTTTTCACAGAGAGCACCGAAATCTAATTTAGTAAAGTTATTTACTTTTATAAATAAATTGAGTTTCTTTAGGATTGAAATAAAAATCTACAAAACATTCTGGTAATTTTTTTCGGGAGATTTTAATTCTTGTTCAGTTTAAAAATACTACATACCCTGAATCGGTATTTACCGATCGGTGGTCGAGCGTACGGGATACCTTCAAAACTTGCGTAATTTCTACCATTTGTTGAGACTTTCCAAGAACCCTGGAGCACACCATGAGCCACTCTAACCACGGGATTTGATCCCTGAGCCTCAATTATTGCCAGCGCGAATACGCACAAAATAAATTTGATTAACGCCATTTTTATTTATACTATGTTGACGTGCGCTCGCGTCGAGCTTTGGTACGACACTGATCAGTATATAGATAAATTGCTATCATGTCACCACGTGGTATGCAATAGTGATGTACTGCAATTTTAGTTATTGATTATCGACATTAGACGTCCCTATTATCTCACCTTATTATTTGTGCTTGCAAATTATTGTCAATATTTTAAAGTATTCATATGCAATAGTGTTTATTATAAGTAATTTAACAAACACTAGAGAAATAATTTACAAATGTAATTTTTAAAATTACCTGTATAAGAAAGTTAGTAAAAACTAAACAGTGATTACTTTAGTCAAACTACATTGTGTGTATTACAATTTAACGTATAAATAATGTTTCGAAAAACTTTAACATTATATAACTTGAAAACAACAGCACGGCAGCCAAAATGCGATTTTTTCTTTGTTAAAATACTTATAAAATTATATTTACATTTAAATATCCAACTAACACTATTTATGACAACATTACGTCAACACTTCCCGCGCGATTCTCTTTATTTTTCACCTATCTTTTTCATAATTAAAAAGGCAAAGGTCTTAGTGGCCATTATGCCACGTCTTTGACAGAATGTTTAATTCTGCAACATTGATTTTTGTACGAACATAAAACAGCAACGCAACTGCAGTTCCTATGGTGTTATGGCTATTTAGGATCTCATCTTTGCTCTCAGAGCGGCTGTCACCTTATATTTAGAACAATACCTACT